CTTTTTTTTTTTTTTAAGTTGATTAGTTGAAGGAGATTAACACCGGGATAGTGGGGCTGGGTACTGGAGAAATGACATAAAAGACACAAGAACTGGTTTTTCTTCTAGCCTATTATTATTAGATCTTTTTTTATTTTATATATTTTAACAATTAAAAATATAATATTTAAATTTTTAATAATAATAATTAATAAATTATATATATATTTTTTCAAATCCCAAGGGGGTCCATCGCCCCCCCCCTTCTCCATGTGGCTCCACCACTGGATGGATTGAATGGTATCACTTTGTCCCTAAGTGGGAAAACCATTGAAAGGCTTGAAGTTTAACCCCAATTACCCCTTCCCCCACCTAGACCTGGCAACGGGCGGGTTGGGTTAGGTTCGGGTCGAGTCAGAACGGCTAACGAGTCAAAACAAGTTGGGTTAAAATGGGTCACGAGTTAATAAAGGCAGACCTTGACCCGCCCATCATGGGTCACGGGTTGACCCAATTAAATTTTTTCCTTTTTTTTTTTCTCTATAATTTGTACCTATTATCATTTAAAGAAAATTATTCAAAAGATTTCAAAAAGAAATTCAACATCTTATAAAAAGAATTTTTTTCCCATTAATTTAATGTATACATATTTATAGTTCTTTAGAATTATCTCCTCCACTTCCCTTCAAAGAACAACGTTAATCAAATTCAAGAACACTATTGTTTACACATAAAAATAAACCAATGAGAGAAAGCCATGTATCAAGTTGAAGCCCGATTATCAAGAAAAGTCAGTAGGTTGGATTTGGGTTGGGCTAGATTATAGTTTAAGGGCCCAGACGAAAGTTTAAAGAAGTTGGATTTCATGTGGTAGAAGATAAAATAATTTCTCGTGTTTGAGGTTGATTTAAAGTAGGAAGTTGAGGTTTTTTAGGAGAGGGTTATCCTTAGAGTTTTATTGAAGATAAAATTGAACCAAAAATAGAAAGCTGCCAAACAACTGCCAGATATGGAACCCTCACTACTCGATCATGGTAGGAGAGGGCTGAGAAACGTGGAGGAGGTTTCCCAACACTGAAGAAAATAAAAACAAAAAGAAAAATCAGTTCCAAACGGCTTGCCCTACACACTGCCCAGAGCATATGTTTTTCAACTTTCAGACTACTTTTTCTAGATTTCAGCATAGTTTCCAGATTAGTTTGCAAGATCTGTTCTTGTTCATATCTTTAGTTTAGGTTTTTCCATTCTTGTTCATATCTTTCCTAAAAAAATTTAACTTAGGTTAGTTTTTAAGCATTTGGAACTAGATCAGCCTTGAGAACCGATCTATCCCATTGATTTGGTTAGTTCCTCTTTCTCTTATGGATTCATCTCTATTATTTGTTCATGTAAATAAGTTAAATGCTTTCTATCTTCTTTTCCTTGTATTTGCATAATTGTCAGACTTGCAGTTCACTCAATTTCAATTTCTAGATTTAATTTTACAAGTTTCCAAACTTCAATTGTAGTTATGAAGTAGTTTAGTTATTTTTATTTTAAATTTACAAGTAATTAGTTTAATTGTTATGGACTACGTAGTGGAAATTGTTGTCTGTGATTTTACATTTTTTGTTGTTTGCGAGTTTTATTTTTGTGGCATGTTGTTTTTTTTTATTGATCTCATGTTAGATTAATTGCCTTAGGATTTTGTGTTAATTTTAGGATTTGTAGCTGTTATTACACTTTTGTGGTTGTAAAGTCCTTGGAGGTTTCTAAGGCAATTAGTAACTCATTTTGCAGAACTCCACCCTTTGTTTTGCAACATGGTCTAAGGCGCAATTTATTTCACAGACATTCTTTCTAGCCATCTTATTGGAGGTCGACCATTGGAAAGAACAAGGATCGTCTGGAAAATCCTATTTTCTTTTTTTTAGACAAAGCAAGTGGCACGCCTTATGCCCAACTCACGTGGTAAAGGTCGGTTAAGGGTTTTTGGGGAAACAACCACACACTTATAAATCTCAATAGAAAAAAAAAAAAAAAG